CTCCCCCAGGCGAGGGAGGGTCAGTGGGGTGCGTCCCCCCAGGTCTTACAGGGTCTCCACATATGCGTTCTCTGCCACGTTCCAGACCTTGACGCAGCGGTCATGGGAGGCACTGTACAGCTGGTGCGTGCCCTTCCGGAAGGACAGGCCCTGCGGACGGACAGATGGACAGACACAGGGGCAGCGGTGAGGGGCACCAGGGAGGACGGTGCTGCCTGGTCCCACAGGCATCACGGCCGATGCCCCCGACTCACCGAGACGGCGTCGTGGTGCCCAGTGAAGATGTGCAGGCGCTTGCAGGTGGCTGCATCCCAGATCATGATCAGCTTGTTCCTGTCTCCCGTAGCCTGGCAGAACACAGGGGATACCTGAGATCTGCCCCTCAGGGATCCACGGCTCTCCCCAGCCTCCGCTCCCACCCTATGTGCTTTGGGGGGCCCCAGGGACCCATTCTTGACTCCAGCGGAGGTAGGGACTGCTTTAACCCAGCAAAGTAACCTGGGCATGAGATACTGCTCCCCAGGACCCCAGGAGGAGATGGACTCCCCACCACCACCTTTTTTTTCCAGCCCCCTCTCCCATACCAGGTACTTGCCATCCGACGAGATGGCCATGCAGAGGACGTGGGACGCATGCCCCATGTGCCGCTCCTCGGTGCCTTTCTTTCCCCCGGGCACCACGCACAGCCTCTTCCCGCTCTCCACCTCCCCTATGGGAAAGGCATCGCTGTCACCCCCTGGGAGCCTCCCACCGCCCCGGAAAGCACCAAGGAGCCTCCCACAGAGACCAAAACGATGCACGTGCACATCCCTGGAGGGGCCAGGGGCCAAGCCACCTCCACAGGCACCCACGGCCCTGCTGCTGCAGGGCCGCTGCGGGGTTCAGGTTGGGGGAACAGTCAGTTGCGACCCCAAGGGAACACTTGCATTTGATGAGGTAGCCATCCTTGGAATCGGAAAAGATGAACCTGTCATCTGGAGAGATGACCAGGCAGGTGACAGGCAGCTGGTGCCCCCGCAGCACTCGGATGCTGGCTGGATCCGGAGGCTGCACCTGCAGGGAGAGCGGGACGTGAGCTGGACCGCCCCAGTCCCTTCCCCAGGCACG